ATACGTGTGGAGGCTTAAATCAGGAAAAAATAAAATTTTTATTGATTTACATAAAAATTATAACTCATGTTAAATGCTTTTCTTTTTAATTTTTTCATTAAAAATTGTTAATTTTATAGCAAAAAAAATCGATATGTGCTAGTCTTTTTCTTAGGGTCATAAAATCAACTATTTTAATTGAAAACTATTTCCTTGGATTCATACGAAAAAGTGCTAATACTTTTTAAATATTCAAATAGTAATTTTTAAACTAAACCAAACAATGAAACTAAATTAATCGTTTCAGATATTTATTTATTCAAATAGAATGAGGCAAACAATTTTCCTTTTTAATCAAGATTTTCAAGAAAGTATATCTTTACACAAAAAATACACGAATATTTTATTATTCTTTTCAAATTTTATTAAAAACTAACGAATTGGATTGCTTAGTTAATTTAGATTTATAAGCCTATATCGCTTCTAAAAGAAAGAGTTTGCTTTAATTTTCAGACTTTTGGTCCATGCACAAGAATCTCAAAACCTGCAAGATACACTTGTTAGCATATGGAAGGTCGAACCCACATGGGTTCAAAGTCTTGTAATCCAAGCCAGTCCAAGTTTAAGATCTGAAAGTTTTTTTTTTTGAATTTAAGTCCACCAAAGATCATTTAATCTATGTCAGGTAACGCATAAATTCGCAGCTGTTACTTTATAAACGATTGTGAAATTTAAAAACTAGGCTTTTAAGGATATTTATCTCTACACTGCTGAGAAAAAAAGAACATATTATAAAAAGAAGAAACATGGAAATAAGTTTAAGTGAGAAATAGGGGTTCTGCTTTAAGACTCATCCTTAACACATACCGCACATTTCTTGTCTTTCGTCTTCAAAATTTCCACAGTCATCTGTGTAGTCACAAATTTTGTTCTTCGAAATGCATCTTGAGTTTTTGCAATCAAATTGGTCTGATGTGCACATTCCAGGTCCTCCAGTTGCTGCGAAATTTGCAAATAATTAATTCCATGTTGTAACAAATGTAGCTTAAAATATTTGAATCAAAATGTTAAAAACAATTACTTAGTGTTTCACATTGAGATAGTGTTATATCATCCACTGCCACGGTTGAAGGTACGTATCTATCCCGATCAGCCACAAAATTAAGCTAGATAAAAATGAATTTATTAATAGGTAGTTGTAATAATTTAGTAGGATTAATCAAAAACAAGTAATATTAAAAAAAATTCAGTCAATTCCATCTTAGGTCAACAGAGAAAAATTTTATTTCAGTTACTTGTATAAGATAAATTTTTTTCTTCCATATAAAACTCAAATTAATAAATTAAATTTAATTAATGAATTAAGTTTAATTAATGAGAAAACTGAAAAAACTGTATTGGCATCCAGTGTCATCCACTACAGGTTTAAAATAATGTATTTGAACTTGGGTGGATGAATGAAAAACATTTTTATTAACGACTGTAAATTTGGGCAAGATATTTTTTTTTCCAATGAGCTGCACAATCAGTCTTGCCGATGAACAGACCTAGTGCGTACTCCAGAAGTGGTATGCACTCTTTCAGGACCACCAAAATGGGTGAGATACCGTTGGCCATGTTAATTTGGACGTCTAGTTTCTGCCACACTAGATGGCAGCACCGAAACTCTATTTGGATGCTAAAGTGCACTAGCAATTTGGGCAAGAATATATATAAATGGAGAGTGTGTGAACTAATTGTAGGAATTAAATGAATAAAAATTCTCACCTTAAATGTTTTAGGTATTCGGCCAAGAAACACTTGTGCTCCATTCCAAACATCTTCACTATTTCCTTCTGGTATCCAGATATCTACACTCTTGTTGCTCCTCTCTAAGGTCACCTTGAAATCCACTAAAAAAAAGTACATTCATGAAAATTAAGGTTATTAGGCTTCATTTAGTCTTTGGTTTTACTTATGAGTGTATTATTTATTTAGATGTTGTTTTGGCATTTTCATTCCAGCTGTTTCGCAACATTTTACCTCCTGGCTAGGAAGCAAAATTTACAGCAATAATTTGCAACACGAATTTGCTTACGTGACCAGGGCAGCCTGATAGGGATTATTTACGTTAAGAAATACAGCTGCATTCAACACACATATACAGAGCTCCGGACATGCCAAAATAATTTAAAAAAACGGTAAATAACTACAAAGTAAATTTTGCAAATATTTGACTATTTTTGCTTGCTTTTTAAACGGTATAGCTTAATATAAGCAGAGATGCAAAACTGCTCCGGACACGCCAAAATAATTTTTAAAAAAACAGTAAATAACTACAAAGCAAATTTTGCAAATATTTGACTATTTTTGCTTGCTTTTTAAAAAGTATAGCATGACATAAGTATCAGGGCTCGAAAAAACTACCCGTCCCCGAGGACGGCTTGTCCATCAATGTACCCGTCCTCTTTTGAAACTAA